AGGTGAGACTATCTGAGCATCTGGTTGATTTTGCTTTTGAATTTCTCAATATGGGAACACTAATGAACAGTGACTTCAGTACGATACCTGCATAAGTATATTGATACTGAAACTGAAATAATACCCACTGCTAAAACCAAATATGGAACTTAAAATCTGTTATTTTATTGTTAACAATAAATTCACTTGTAAATCTTTCGGATCAGTTGTCATGTTTGCTGGCAAATTGCTTGGCTGAGCCCAATGTGTTGACTCCCTCAATCTGCATAGGTCAAACATCTTTTTCTGTCGAGCTTTGTGGTGTGAAATATTGCCATGTCTTGCTTGTGCGTCTACTTTATGGACAATCAGTGGATAATTGGCAATTTGCTGACTGGGCCTCTCAGTTTGTCAGCATGAAAGCATGGCAAAAGAGAAAAGCACCATTGCCCCACAGCAAGGAAACTTGGAACAGTCCTTTACAGCATAACAATGAAATTATTTTATGTACAGACTGGTTTTTAATATCGTGTTATAATCTTAATTACCTGACATATCATTCTTCAAAAGGCCTTTATTATGTTCATATTTTAATGTGATCCTTTATCTTCTTCCTGTAGGAACTCGAACTGAATGCTAGAAGAGTAAAGATCTATCCATCCATGATGTTTGTGGGAGCTTCTTTGGGTAGCAACCCCACCTCTCCTATCCCAGCCCACAGTCCTGATTGTCAGTCAGATGGTCCATCCCCTCCCTGCTGGATAACACAGGCCCGGTGCGACCTTGCCCAGGCAGAGTCTGAGCTGCGTCGCCTTCAAGAACATCATGCAACTGAAACTGAATCTGTGAAACGATGTGTGGAACGAGCCATTCTGGGAGCACGCAGGGAAGAGCGCCGCCTGCTGGAGAGGGTGGAGCAGGACCATCGGGACACTCAGCAGCACTTGGAGCAGGTACATAGGGAAAACACAGCAGCTGCCCGAGTCAGTCAGTCCCTGCTGGACCAAAGGCTGCGTAAACTGGCTCAGCTTCAGCAGCGGGTTCAGGATGCTGGCCAATCAGTTCTGAATGAAAGTGGGCCAAACCAGAACCTGCTGCTAAAGGAGGTTGCAGAGTTCCTGCAGCCTTGGGAAATCTCAGTTTCCCTAAAGAAAGTGAACTTCAAACCCAGCCCACAACCCAATGCTGTCACCTTTGGAGACATGCGGGTGCAAGAACAAAACCTGTGCCTGCAAGTTGGAAGTTGCGGGCCACAGGGACAGATGTGTGCTCTCCATTCACAGGAGATCCAGTCTGAAGACCCGAACCATCAAGATTCTGGAAGAGAGAAGAGTATCCAAGGACAAGACTGGACCTCACCAACAGGGAGGGTTGTCAGAAAGATCAGCCTCTCTAACAGGAGTGATCTGGGGACAGAGGAGGAACAAAAGCTCTCTGAAGCAAAGATAAAACGCTGGCTTCCAAAGTGTGAACAGTCTGAGTGGGAATCATCCCAGGATGACGACATGGAATCAGGTTCCTTCCAGCCACAAGGGGAAAATATATTTCTGGCTGTCCCTACTGTGCTTAAAAACATGGATACTGAAGGTAAGGACCAGGTGTACAAGATGAACAATAATGGAAAACAATGCTCTCCCAGAAATCAGAGGAAATTGCTTTCTGTGGCCTCCACTAGGATGCCATCCCCCTCACCTGAGCGAAGATGGGAGAATGCTAAGCTGGGTCACTGCTTGAGTTTAGACAGCCAGAATGGAGATAGAGGAAAAGTGAACAAAGAATCCAGTAGTAGACTATTGAGGTATGGCAACAGTGCTCTTGCATCTCCGAGGATGACTCCAAGGGACTCTCTGGCCAGTCAAAGCTGCCTCGACCTTACCTCCAGGGGCCGACCTCACTCTCGCCTCAGCCAGTCTTCAGATGAACACTCTCTGGCAACGCTTGGTGACTCTGGCCGAGCACCATCGCCGACAGACAGCCTCGACTCCAGCTATACTTTCATCGTCAGCCCGTCTCATGACTACAATCTGAACAGGGGCTCTTTGAACTACAGTTGTCGCCTATCAAAATCTGCAGTGGACTTGACACACAAGACACGCCCATTGATCAGTGGTGCGACCAATGAGCATGGAGTGTGGAAGGTTAAATGCAAGAACTTCAACTCCATGTTGAGCGCCACCTCCACTTTGCCAGCTCTCAATAGGGGATCTCGGGTTTCTGACATGGGGCAGACCCTCTCCTACCCAACATATAGAGATCAGAATATTTTGCACCAGCCACAGAAAAAAGTTGCAGCAGCTGGATCAAAACAACACCTTGTGGCTCGGTCTTTATCCATGTCAGTCATAGATGGTTCCTCTCATGATCCAAAAAGGGGCAGAGGAGAAAGAGGAGAGGCAGCACTGGTGGAGTTAGAGGAGGAGAGTGACCCGTCCTTCTCACTATTCAACCCCAGAGACGTCCCTCTCATTGGACAGTTTGGAAAGCAGGGTTCGGGTCGGGCTGACCTTACCCTGCCAAGCGGCATCCATGCAACACCACAGGGCCAACTCTTTATAGTGGACTGTGGAAATGCACGAGTTCAGGTATGTGTTATGTTGAGCCTGTACAATCTGCAGTATGTGTGTGAAGATGTCTATGAGGTTAAAACTAAATTTGCACTCTGAAACAGGTGACTGACCCTCGCGGAAATGTCCTCCAGCAAGTGACCTCCCCGACTGCTGATGGTTCAGCCAGACGATGTCGAAACTACTTTGACATTGCTGTCAATGCCAAGGGTCTGATTGCACTTAGCTGTGCAGCAGAAAGAGCCCTGCTCGTGTTCAGCCGCCACGGTCGCCTGCTCCAGACCTTTGGAGGGTCTGGGTTGGGCTCTGCAAAGGATGAACTGGAAGCTCCCAGAGGTGTGACTGTAACCAGGCTAGATGAGTTCTTGGTAGCTGATATCCGGAAAGGTACCCTCATTGCCCTGAAGCTTGAAACTAAGACAGGCTCCCGTCTTGAGCGCACAGTGGTGACCGGATTCCACCGACCGTACTTAGTGGCAGCTTGCTTGACCTCAGGCATGATAGCCGTGTCCGAGAGGGGCAACGAAACAGGTCGAGTGCCTTGCATCAAAGTCTTGGAGCCAGGCTGGAATACAGTGAGAGTTCTGGGTGTATGTGCTGGGATGGGGCCGGTCCTGGCCTGCCCCTGGGGTATTTGTATAGATACAGATGGTAATGTTCTGGTAGCAGACTGGGGGGAGCAGCACAGAGTCCTGTTATATCCTGCTCAGGGAATGGGGTGGCCGATAGTAAACCAGGGCTTGAGTAGTCCTCGTGGCCTGACACTGCTACCTGAGGGTCAACTAGCCGTGTCAGACAGCATGCACCACTGCATTAAAATCTACCAGTACAAAGCACCACACGACTAGAAGGGCTGACATGTAAAGATACACAATGTGGAAATCAGTCACATCTGAGACCTATTGTGTATTTATTCCTATTAAATCAACTTTTTCCTCAACTGCAACAATCAGCTGCAGCTCCAGGGCTCAGACTGTAAACTTCTGCAATTAGACTGACAAATGATGTATTGGTGTTTGGTTCAGCTGTACTGTAGGAGTCATGTGTCCGCCTGGATTTGAAAGCCAAAGGCTATCCATTCATCTTTAAAGGCGAAAGCTATAAAGCTAAGCTACAGAGAGAGAGAGAGAATAAAAGAAGCTGGTGCGACACTGCAGAATGTTGGTTTGTTTTTGTTAAGCTGCTCTGAAGCATTCAGGGTCAGATAGAATTGCTGTTTGTTTCCCAACTGTGGTTTATAGATTAGAGTTCAATTACAGTCTGCACAATGTCTGTGCTGCTCCGTGTGCTGCTGCTGTGATTCCAAAGCTGCAAACATGCAGGCAATAGCTGAGGCCAGCATTCACTGTGCATAGTTTTAAAAATGTCAACAAATCCAGGACAAATATGAATGCACATGTATCTGCTACCATAATTTATTATACTTAAAAAGAGAGAGGATTTTAAGTGGTGGGACAGAGATTACTTTGTGTTCCAGTGTGGCATTTTTATTTTGAAGTGTTTCAATGAGAAGGATTTCAATGTTTCAATTGAACCTTGTCATGATTGGATTCAGTAATTCCTTCAAATTCTACAATTTGTCACGCTGTCACTGATCTTTACTGACAGCGAGGGATGCTCAGCGGCTTCTTTCAGTCCTCCCACTCCCTTTTTTTCACCACAAGTGTCTGTCATGTAAATCTACCACTCTTTGATGGATTCTGTACTTAACACGAAGATACACTGATGCCTTCAAGTACATGTGGGTGAAGCACCAACAGTGGAACCAGACTGCCATCCAAATTTTTTTCGTGAGATGTGTTTGTGTGTTGCAGATGTTTTATTCAGGAGATTACTGCAAAGGTGTGGAGCTATCAAGTGTCCTTTTACATAAGATGCTTTGCTGTAGTTTTTCTCTCTTTTTTTGTGAAACTGTCACTTTTAAGTCGGGCTCACAAAACAGGAGTTTTGAAATGGGGTTGCATCATGCACATTAAGAGAAACTCTCTAATCTCAGGAAACATTGCAAGATTAAAGGATATTATTAAGATGATCAGGCCAGAGGCAGCAAACTGTGGTGCTACAACTTGCTGTAACACCAACAATATTTAGCAGTAAGGGGAAAAAATGCAATAAAGCAGGGCTGAATGAGTCTGGATGAGAAAATGTTTGTGAATTTTAATATCTGTAGTGAACATTAGCCTCAATAGCTGGCATGTTTAACAACGCTCGGATACTGTGTCTCAAAAGTGATCTGGACAGTGGCATGATAATGATAACCATCCTCATTTAACTTGTCAGTAACAAACATCTCTGAATCTATCAAAGCTGCCCCCCCGAGTCTGCTAGGAGCTCGAGATGTTTAAAACTGGATGTGATGCCGATAACATTACTGAATGTTGGCTGAACTTGGTATGGCTGAGAGCCGCTCAGCATACGGTGGGACCCAAAACAAAAGAGGAGACGGGATGAAGGGGGAAAAACAGGTTTATTAAGGGAATCTGGGGGGTGTGGAGCACAGGAGGCAGGTGAGGAATCCAGGGTGGGTGCGCTGATCATAGCGGTGGTGCAGGAGGATGATTTCCTGTGCAGGTGCTCGTGTAGAGATTCTTCGTGCCCGTCTTGTGCTCTCGTGGTGGGTAAGGCTGGCGTGGGGGGCGGACGGCTGGACCCGCAGACCGGTGGAGGAGACACTGGAGAACAAAGAGAAGACAACAACGGTTACTTGTGACTCGAGATAGCTTAGCAATACGCACATGTGCTAGAAACTGCAGCTAGACGGCCTGAATGTACCACTTGTGGTGTTCACAGTCGTCTGGCACAGGAGTCCAGGTGAGCAGTGGCTTTAACCTGTCCGCTGACTGAGGCAATGAGCCACAGCTGTGCCAGCGAGGGAGCGTCCTCCTCCGACCAGCCCCGCCCAACCTGAAAATGAGTTGCACAACCAACCGAACACATAAGAAAAACAGCAGGGTCCAAAACACACAGTAAAACATGTCCATAATCACCACAGAACATCTAGATCAGATTTTGCTCTGATTGTCTTAAGGGGTGAAATGTGGGTAAATTGACCAGAAACTCCTGACACATGAGCAACGGCTTTACTCCACTACCACTCAGATAAAAAAACATTTTACTACACTAAATTTAACTTAAAGTTTTCATTGCATATTACTTTCCATACTAAGATTTCATATTCAACACAAGATAGTCATTGTATTGTTTTAGAGTAAAAACTTCAAACATATATGATCTCATTTTACTTTCATTAACAGAATTCTGCCATTCAGTTTTAGAAATGGAAATAAGCAGTTTTCATGTGATCCTTGAGTTATTTTTTGTTTGTTTGTTTTTACCCTAATATAACCAAATACTATTTAGTACTATAACTAAATAATTAGAAGATGTTCAAATACAGCTTAGATGTTGATGCATCAGCAATTTACCACTTTGATAATTCCTCATAATGCTTTTACCTTTATACTTAAGTTTTTGTCTGTTTGTTTGTTTTTTTAATTAAACTGCTAATCCATTCTACTTTTTGTTAAGTTACATTTTTGATTCCATTGTTGCATTGCTATTTTTATTTAATAAAACCACTGGAGTGCTTTTCACTTGGATCACATCCAAAGTGTTCCACTGTTCTCATCCTTCTCTTAGATGAAGCCATGACTTATTAAAACAGACACAATGTCTTGGAAGGCATCCAGCTGTGAGCGTGAGCCATTATTCAAAAAGACAAGCTTGTTTTTTATCTCATCAGTTTTTGCTTTTATTGTTACAGACATGTTTATTTCTGGGAAATCTGCAGTTTTAATGATGTGAATATTAAAATGAAATTTTAAAAAATGTAGGTTGAAATTGTGTCTATTGTAATATTTTTTTCATTAGGCTTTGCTTTGTCTCATAACAGAAAAGAATCTAGACAACCCTGCAAAAGTGTAGACTACAGTTTAAATGTTTTACATTCTCTATTGTAGAAATAAACTATTGAACAATACAAAGCATTTTAAATGACTCTTAGAGAATTTGAAAAACACAATTGCCATACATGCAGACATCTCAACATGGATGAAAAAACGCCACCATCAGCTCAACCTCTCTAAGACTGAGCTGATTGTCATCCCAGCCAGTCCCTCTCTAAAACAAGAAGTAAATATCCAGCTTGGTTCAACCCAATTTAAACCCACAGAGTCTGCCAGAAACCTGGGGGTCATGATTGATGACCAACTAACCTTCAAAGCTCATGTGGCCTCTGTTGCTCGGTCGTGTCGATTCACCATGTACAACATCAGGAAGATCAGACCTTTCTTGTCTGAACATGCAGCACAACTCTGGGACCAGGCTCTCATAATATCACGCATTGACTACTGCAACTCCTTACTGGTAGGCCTCCCTGCATCCACGGTCAAACCTTTGCAGATGATCTAGAATGCAGCAGCACGTCTGGTTTTCAACCAGCCAAAAACAGAACGTCACCCTGCTGTTCAGATCGCTTCACTGGCTTCCACGTTGCTGCCTGCATCAATTTCAAAACTCTGACACTTGCCCACAAAACTACAATGAACTCTCTCATTCAGGTCTACACTCCCTCCCACTTACTACGCTCAACCAACAAAGACTGCCTGATACAACCACCACAACAGGGCCCGAGGTCGATAGCTAGACTCTTCTCCCCCGTGGCTCCGTGGTGGTGGAACGAATTACCAAACTCTGTTCAATCTGCTGATTCCCTCTCAGTCTTTAAGAAAAGACTAAAGACCCAACTCTTCAATGAACACCTTTGCACTTGACAGACTGAAACCAAAACAACAAAAAAACAAACAAACAAAAATTCCTATTACCTCCCTCACAGCCTGCTATTGGTATCAATGCACTAACACACTTGAACTTGTTCTATGGCACTTATCCAAATTGTTTTCTCTTGGCCAGATCCTTGTTTGTGTTGTATCTGCTCTCAGATGTTCGTCGCTTTGGATAAAAGTGTCTGCGAAATGAAATTGTAGAACTGTAGACATGAGTATTGCACCTACAAATGACGTTACAGAATGGAGAAGATCTGATTTCATTCTTCCAAGAGGTGAGTTAAGTTCTGCAGTAAACACACTACAGATTTACTGCTGATACAAATCTAATAACCGCAAAATTAATTTCCACACAGAAAGAACTGAAGGAGCAATCTCCAGAGTCTCGCGCTCACTTCCTCGCATCTGTTGCCAAGTGAACAATAACATGAGGGCTTTGTTTGCGTTTTAGTCAATTTCCTGCACATCTAAGAGTCTCATGCCAACCTCTCCACAGATCAAACACCCCCCCCCTCATCTGTTAATCAGCAGTTCAGTACTCCCCTCTTGACGCCGGCTTCACAGTTTGAAAATGTGTCATGATTGCTTACCGGAAAGCGACAATCTCTTCCTGCTGCAATACATTTTGTGCAGACTGTGCAGACTCAGAATAATTCTGAGGTGGTTTAGTTCGGCCATGGTGTCACACCAGAAATAGCACAGTGATGTCACCTCTGTTTTGGAAAATTCATGACATAGTTATAGTTGTACATACACAGGGAAGTGGGGTGAGCGCTCCTCATATAGACTGTATAAAAAAAATGGACAAAGCCTCAGTGACATCACCCAGGTTTCCTGAAAATCGAGTTTAAAGCTCAGTATCAGTAGTAGTAGACAGCCACCCCCCTAATTATACTTCAAGCAGTAATACAATACAGTTGTATAAAGTTGTGTCACAATTCACCATGAGAAGGGTCGTCATGAACAGAGAATTAGCTACAGAGACCAAAACTCTTTTGTACCAGGCTGTAAACATGTCTTTTTTCTGCTGTGAAGTCATGCATTTTATCATGTGGGTCTGTGGGGGTTGACTCACCTTTGGGGTCAGCCTCAAGTGGCTGTTTGAGGCTCTGCAGACACATACTATTGGCTTCCATGTTGGATTCATTTCTCAGCCTCAGATGTTGCCTCTTGGTTCCTGATACTGATACGGTCTGATACTGAATTATATCACTAGACTCTGCAGTGGGTATCATTCTGTGCCATCATGAGTCTACAGCAGCATTCTCCAGCGCTGATCTAATGCACCTTTAAACTGCCTCAAAATCCAAGTCTTACCTATTCAGAGAACAAATCCTCTGTGACCTGACCCAGTTTTGTATCTACGCTGTATCTGCTTATTCTAAGCTACCATGACTGAGCCAATGGCTTGTTCAGACAGTCTTGTTTCACTTCCATATCCCTTTTAATACACATACCATGGGTGAATTAAGCAGTCAGTGCCATTGCTGAGTATTTCCATCTTGAAACTGCAGTGCACTAATGACAGCTTTAAAAACATAAATTTAGACTTTAAGCATTTTATATGTAATAAACTTAAGAAACTAATTCCTTCAACTCATTGGCTCGATTGGTCAATGATGAATTATTCTTCAGAATTGTTTTACAAGTAGAACACGTATGGCAGTATTATTCCAAAATCACAGCTTGTCATTGTTTAGCATGAAGCCATTTTTGAGAATTTGAATAGAGTTGTAGGTGAGCTGGTGTGCTCAGGGTGCAGAGAATAGTGGAGTGAGTGCAATATATTGCGGTATATTCTAGAGGAAGCCGCAGTATAGAGTTACATCTGAGCCATTTGAAGGCAGAAAGTTAAACTTGGCACAATGTACAACACTAATTTGCAATCTATTGATCAATGTGATCGTATTGACCTGATTATAGCGTAAGAAAAATTTTTACTATTTTTTGATCATCTAAGAATGACAAGGGCACAGGCTCAAACTTTTCAAAAACAGCTGAGCAGGGGACAGAGGTTGAAGGGTCAGAAGGAGGATTAATGACAGCCTTTATGTTTGCAACCTTGTCACTAAAAAATTGCAGAAAAGTATTGCACATCTCAGATGAAGCCTCCAAAGAGGCAGACTGTGGAGCATTAAAGACAGAGTCTATTAGTTTAAACAGCACTCTGGGGTTATGCCGATTAGAGAGATAATGTTAGACAGATGTTCTTTCTTTGTCTCTTTAACAGTGTCCTGGTAGAGATGCCAGCATTTCTTTAGGATTTGGAGTGAGACCTGCAGTTTTTCCTTCTTCCAGCTGCACTCAGCCTTCCTGCATTCCCTCCTAGCTGACTGGGTACAGTGAACCAGGGTTCTGTTTAGCTCGAGGCTTTACTGTCTTTAATGGAGCCACAGAGTCCAATATGTTGCTGCAGGAAGAATGAAACCAGGAGCTCAGTCCCTCCACATCAGTGGAAAAGGAGGTAGAGGGGAGAGAGAGCTGTCGAAAAGCAACAGAAAACTGATTGACAGTGGAAGGGGTAAAAATCCTGCAGCGCCATGGAAGAGCGGCGGATTTAACTGTGGCACATTTGAGTTCAGCTTCAAACACTGTAGGCATGTGATCTGAAATGACAATGTCACAGATCTCTACATTAAACACAGACAAACCATATGAGAGGATGAGGTCTAGTGTGCATCCATTTTCATGTGTAGCACCAGACACACTCTGCACAAGATTAAAAGAGTCAATGATCTCTAAAAAGTCCTTCAGTACAGGCTTATCGGGACGTCACACATGAATATCGAAATCCCCAACAATAAGGACTCGATCAAAATGAGCCATGATTCCAGCCAGAAAGCCAGAGAAATTGGTCACAAAGTCTTCGATGTATTTAGGAGGTCTGTAGATGACGGCGCAGAGGACTGGGTCAGAACGACCCACCTCGAATGAAGTCAGTTCAAAGCTGGTGTATAAGGATAAAACGCAGTGTTGTTTGCAACTAAAACCATTTATAAAAACAGACGCCGTTCCTCCTCCTCGACCAGACTTCCATGGGGAGCAAAAATAAGAACATCCTGGGATGCCCACGTCTCCGTCACGCAGAGGAAATCCAGATGGCGGGAGGTAAAGAAATCTCTCAGGACAAAAGTCTTGTTCACCAGTGATCGGACGTTCACTAGGCCGAACTTAGTCAGGGCCGCGTCAGAGGAAGTGTGTGTCTGGGAGAGCATCCTCAGATTCCGGGGATTCACCCTACGCAGGCGGGGCCGAGGAGAGCAGGTGCGGCGGGGCGAGTATTCCTCATCAGAGCCAGCCTCAGTAATTACGCAGGCGTCCGATGGATCCAGGAAACGCCAGGGCAATATGGAGGGATTAATCCAGATTCTGACCAGGGAATGTACGAGGAGCATGCCAAGGAAGCCTTCAGCTTCACCAACCGGCCACCGCGCTTGCCGCATTTGGCAACGAAGAGGGGGGCAGACACCCTGAACAGGTGAGCTGGAACACCTGACAGCAGCGGGGGCAAAGTTTTCTGTCCATAGATCTCTCACATTACTGAAGATCTAAAGGAAACTGACGTTCATACACCAGCAGAGACTCCGTATACAGGGTGTCAACGCACAGAAACAGAACAAAAACAAACCACAAGGAGAGCAGCAGACACTGGCGCCATCTTGGACCTTAAGTTATCTTAAGTTATCTCTATTTTTGTCATGTCATTTCTACTGAGTCAAATCCGCACAACTTCAGTTTGATTGATTGGTCACTCAAGCAAACAACAAAAAAAATGTTTTCTGAAAGTCTACAAAAACAGAGTTGTCGGTTTCTGCAAATAAACTCGTCAAGTCAATAAAATGTACTCAACACCAAATTCAACCACTGCAGGTTTGAAGCAAAAAGACTGGACACTGTTGGCTTAGGTGGAGCCAGTGTATTTGAAAGCCCTGAACATTAGCAGGATAAGAGTATTTCAGTCAGTCATTAGTTCTTTTAAAATAGTCTTAAATTCTGTTTATTTAGGATAAATAGGATACAATTGTTGATCAAAAATCCGTGTAGCCTTGCACATTTTGTAGCTGGTCATTCTTGGCATCTGGTGGTAGTCAGTTTATTAATTCACTAAGGTAGGATTGAAAGGCTTGGCATTTAACAAGCTTTATTAAAAAGAAAAAGATTGAAGGTCACAAAGCGCAGAGGAGGTGGGAAGAAAGTGGAGAATAAGTTACCCTCTGTAGCTGCAGTTAGAGAAGTTCTGGCTAAACCGGGCAAAATGTCCACCGTTTTTGTCAGCAACACAGATGTTACACACTTGGACAAACAGAGGACGTCCAGGCGTGTATGAGTTTCAAAANTTGGCACAATGTACAACACTAATTTGCAATCTATTGATCAATGTGATCGTATTGACCTGATTATAGCGTAAGAAAAATTTTTACTATTTTTTGATTAAGACCTAATATGGGGAGCTCGTGACAAAAAATA